TGAGCACCATCCCAGCCCTGGGAACGTGCAGGAGCCCTCCTCACATCAGCCCATGCCAGGAGCAGTGTGCAGGTTACTCCTCATGGCAAACTCTCCATGCTCCATTAGACCAGGGATTTTTTTTTAGGAGCTTGGGTGTGAGGGGCAGGTGCTTGGACACGCTCACATTTCTGTGTAGGGCTTGTGGTTCCTGCAAGACATCCCCAGGCCAGGGCTGTCCCTCCAAGTGTGTATCTCCCATTCCTTCCTTCCTCTCTTGTTCCACTCACCAGGAGACTCACGTTGAGGGCTCCAGACTCTTCCAGGGCAGAGAATAAGCTGGTGTAGAAGTGCTCAGAGAAAGCCAGGATGAGGTGGGAAGGGCTGGAACTCGCTGGCTCGGGCATGCTGAAAGGCACAGGGCTGACTGGCAGAGGGATCACTGTCCCTGCCACTTGGAACGCTGTCTGCAGAGACACAGGCAAAGAGAAAATTAATTTCAAGTGTCTGAGGGCTGTAGCACTTGGTGGAAGCAGCTTTTCCAAGGACTGCAGCTGGGCTGTAAGAGCTGGAAAGTGAGGACTTACTTGCAAAGAGATGATAATTCCCTGCTCAGAGTACATGGGGGCAGCCAGGGGCAGGTACTGGACTTGGCAGTTTGGTGTGATGGGGAATGGAGCTGCAAATAGAGCAGAGGAGTGCTCAGGAAGAGGAGGGAAGGAGTGACAGGCCCTGGGAAGTGGCTGGGTTTCCAGAGTAAAAAAGACAGGGAAAGAGCTGGGCAGAGGGAACAGGTCCCTGAGGAGATGATGGCATCAGAGCCTCTGCTGCTGCAGGGTAGGAATTTGTCCCACCTCATAATCTGCTCCAAAATGCTCCTTGAAACCCTCAGTCCATAATGGGACTGAAAGCCAGCTGCCCACCTGCCAGAGACATCAGCCGTTCGTTTGGGAAAAGCAGCAGTTTGGCCACTTCCAGGCAAATCTATGGAATAAAGAACAAAAAGAGAGGGGATAGATGAACATGGGGGTCTGTTGGCATTGGGTGTCCCCAGAAAGCCTCTGAGGTGGGAGCTGGGAGCAGGAGCCAGGGGACGATGGCAGGGTCCAGTGAGCACGGAGCTGCGGGGGAAATCTGGAAAAGCACCAGGTAGACTTAAAGGTGCTCTAATCCTTACAGACCTGTACAATGCTGTCTTATGCCTTTACAAACTTTATCTTACTTTTTCTACGTTGATCTGCTTGTCCAAGTCGGATCCCGAGGACTTGCTGGGTAAAAACAGAACAGAACAGAAGTTAGGAGAAAATCAGATCAGCCAAAGGTGGGTGAGGGTCTTTTATCTGACCCAAAAGGCATCCAGAGACAGAATTATCATTGTTTTCTATCATCTATTAAGCTGTGGTTACAATTCAGAATCCCAAACCACTGGAGAATTGCCACTGGACTTTCATTAAAAGCATTTCAGCTGCACAACTGTAAAGGAACCACTCCCTTCTGACAGACTGAAACTCTCTGAAAATGGGGAAACCACCCCAAAACAGAGCAAAGTTCCTCCCATGAAGATAAAGCTTTAGTGTTGGCCTTTTTTGGCTGTGAGGGCAGTGAGCAAGTCTCAATCCAATCACCCTCCTGCCTAGAATCACTTGTGCCTCAGTTTCTTCTTTCACCCATTACCCAAATCCCACAAGGAATAAAACTGTGGGGCTGACCTTTCCATCTCCTCGGTGCTCTGCACCTCCTCCAGGGTGGGTTTGCAGTCAGAGGTCACCAGCTCCAGGTTCTCTTCGGGGTTCATCTCCACGTGGAGGTCTGCCAGGATGGACAGCCTCATCTCCTTGTTGGTTGAGCTGTGCCGGGGAGGAGAGGAGGAGGCTGGAGCTGGGGGGTGCTCCTGGCCACCCTCCCCCCAGGCCACCCTTACTCCTGCAGGTGCCTTGTCACTTCAGCCAGGAGCTGGGGCTGGTTCCAGCCTGGCAGCCCTGGCACTCACGGGGCAGATGTGACGCCAAGGTCCACCTCGATGCTCAGCCGCATCCCGGTGTCGGGGATCAGCGTCAGGGAAAACTTGTCAACTTTGACAGATACAATTTGGTTCCTTCTGGAGCAGAAAGGAAGATGTTGGGAGACCAGCACAGACCCTGAGAAACCCCAAAAATTCATGAGATCTGCACAGATAAATCCGTGCCTTGAGAGCAGCATGGGTTCTGCTACCACTGGACACCAGCAAAGGAGCCAGGACCTCATTTCTAAACCTCCTGGTCTGCAGGAGGATTTTTGTTCTGGCTGGCAAAGTGCCTTCTGACAATATTCAAACACCAGTGTGAAGCAGGGCTATGGCAGCAAAGCCTGGGCAAGAGAGGGCAACTCACCTACTTGAGGAGGCAGGAGATGGGTCTGGGGCTCGCGAGGACAGGAGGTCCCTCCTGAGGACTGACTCTGCATGTGGCTTTGAAACTTCAGCAACTGTGAAAGAGCACAGATGTTTTATGAGAGCCTGCAGAGCTTGTGTCCTGACGGACAGACTGAAACCCATTTCCATCCCTTACTAGCCCCTGCTGCTGGCAATGGGCAGGGGATGGGGCAGGTAAGCTGAGTGGTGGCATGAGATTCTGGTGCCAGCGTTTGGTGTTTCACCAGCAGAGTGGAAGGTGTCACTGCCTCCTCTCCCTGCTGCTGTGCGAGATGTGGGTCTGCACTTACGGTATCTCAGCCCAGAGGGGGTGAGGATGCCGCCACAGTCGGGGGACCTGGTGGTGAGACCTGGGACCAGGAGGCTCAGGAGGATGCTCAGGGTGCGGAGCATTGCCATGCCGGCACCTGGAGGAGGAAAAAGAAGAGGAAGAGGAGGAGAGGGTGGAGGAGGGCACCCACAGCAGCCTGGTCAGAGCAACATGGCCCTTGCCTGGCCACTGAGGCACAGAGCCACAGATCTGCTCCTTGATTGGGGCTGTGGTGTGGAGCTTGTCAGCTTTGGTGCAATAACAGCCCACAGCTCTCGTGCGGTGTCTTAAAAGCACTGACAGAAGGCTCAGCCTTGAAGAGCCTCTGCAATCTTGTGAGGTAGAACAGTGCCTGCAGCAATATCTCATTTACTGAGGAGCACAGAACGGCCACAACTGGTATAAAAACAGCAAATAAACAGTAGCTAAAATTAATAGAGGAAGGAATGGAAGTTATGGAGGAGTTATAAAGTCAAATGAAAAGGTGAAAGTGTTATCCATCTCTGAAAAACATTTAGGAATTGTTTATAATGTCTGTAATGCTCTTACAATGTTGTGAAAATAAGTAATTCAGAAAGTTTAACCTGCAGAAAACATAATATTTATCTCAGTCTTTGCAGAAAGCATCACTTCTGGTGAGTGCTGACCCTTGTGGAGACACACAAAAGTAGGAGCAATGCCTGTATTAAGTTATTCAGTTTGCAAAAGCATCTTTACCTCTCCTGGCTGGTCTTCCCGTTCTTCTAACTCAGTCTGTATCTTGCTGTGGCCACACTGATAAATTCTGCTGGTTTTATATGTCCTCCCAGCCAAAGCTGATGGGGCAGGAACTGGCAAAGGTGGCTGGGAACCAGGACACTGGGGGGAGGCTTTGTTTTCTGTACCATTTTTATTGTTTCCCCATAGAATTGATTACTTTGGCCGCTGACCTGGCGAGGTGAAGGATTGAACAGCAGGTGCTGGGGCAGCTTGTCTTGTGGTGTACCTGAGGAGCACAAAGAAAGGCCTCTGGGTGGAGGGTGCCAAGAAATCAAGCACTGTTAGAACACAAATGTGAATTTCTTTGCTCTGCAGCCACCCTTTCTTCTGAACACCACAGGGACAGCACCTCCGTGTCCACCTCTGCTATGGACAGCTTGGGTTGTTCAGCCTGGAGAAGAGAATGCTCCAGGGAGACCTTTGAGCCCCTTCCAGTGCCTAAAGGGGCTCCAAGAGAGCTGCAGAAGGACTTGTGACTAGGCCATGGAATGACAGGATAAGTGGCAATGGCTTTAAACTGACAGAGTGCAGGGTTATGTTAGAGATTAGGAATAAATTCTTCCCTGTCAGGGTGGTGAGGCCACCACCTCTCTGAGTACAGGTTGCCCAGAGAAGCTGTGGCTGCCCCGTCCCTGGAAGTGTTCAAGATCAGGCTGGATGGGACTTGGAAAAGTCTGGAGGATGGTGTCCTTGCCCATGGCAGGAATGTGGAACTGGATGAGCTTTAAGGTCCCTCACAACCCAGACTCTTCCAGGATTCTATGAGAGGCTGCTGTGGTTTGTGTCACTCTCCCGGCTGGGCAGCTCACACCAGAAGGGATGAGATGAGGACATGACCTGAAGGAGATCCTGGCAATTTATTAAGGACATTCTCTGGTTCCATCAGGGCTGGGTAAATCTTTTGAAGGTAACAGAAGAGTTTCTATTGGGTTCAGTGAGTTTTAGATCTGAAAAGGCTCATGTGCAATAACCCCTTCCTCTCTTAAACCTATTCCCTATCAAAAGCCACTGGCAATATTTATTACAATTGGCTGAAAATACAGTCAGTGGCATCCACACTCTTTGATAATATCTCTACAAGGAGTGAAACCCTTCATGGGAAGGAATAGGAGCTCCCCTCCTTCCTGTGCTTGGTGTCCATCATGTTCTTCTGGCTTCCTTTTGGCCTGGAGGACAGAGCATGGACCACCTGCAGACACCATGTACCCACATCATGCACGGCCTTTCCAGCTCCCCTTTGTGTTCTGACTTCCCCTCAGCCCTCCCCAGTCTTGTGACCTCAGCATGACCAGTCTCCCAGAGAGGGTTGTGTTGCCCATTTTGGTGTGACTGCCTTGGCAGGGGGGTGAGGTGTTCAGGGCTTGTTGAAACACCTGCAGCCATTGTCCTTCGTGCATCGGTGACGCGAGGTAGCGGCCACTGGTTCCAGGTGCATCTTGACACGTTCAGAGCCCTTGGCTCTCCCCAGCACTGTTACTTCCCTGCTCAGCATGACAGGGAAATGCCAAGAAAGGCAGCATTCCAGCCACGCTGTGCATTTCCACCGAAGGCATCCTGGAAGCAGCGTCAAGAGAAAATATGAAGATCGAGCAGCCTGCCAAGGGAGAGCAGGATTTACACTTCTGATGTACACGCTGATGTAGGCAGCCCATTGAGAGGCAAGAAATGTGTTCAGGAAAGTAAATCCATTGAGAAGGTTGTAACCCTCAGATGAGTCCACTGCATCCAGGGGAGGTGTTTTGTGGGGTCTGACTTTGGTAGGGACATGGACACAACCTAGGGAAGACTCTGAGAGATGAGACTTTGCTGTGTTTTAGAGCAGCAGTTGGGAATTTGCCCCTGTGATTCCTTTTTCCAGTGCAGGTGATACTGCCAGCTCTCCCTGAGACAGGGGATTTTCTGGGGAGCGTTATTATCTCTTCCAGCAGTGCAAGGGTTGGGGATAAGCTGCCACCACGGTGCTTAGAGGTGGATTTTCTCCTCCTAGAAGAGCTGTTCTGGACCTGATGATGCCTGTGGAGGCTTAATTAGATGTCAACTCACAGCATAATGACTGATCAAGTTACTAGCACAAAAGTGTCTTTCTGGCATGATGTGCTCCTTGTCGGGAGTTATCCATAAATCTTACACTCCTGTTAGATAAGATGTAAATCTCCTTGTCTGGGCTTAGCAGCGGGCCACCGAGCACAGCTCTGGGAGGGAGGTAATGACGGATTAAACCTCATGACAAGTTTTATACAGAAATGAAGAGAGGAAATAAATTACTTTGTGCTGCTTTACCTCAGTGGGCTGAGCTCCCAGAGCTGGGTTCTGCTGGGTGGGGTACCCAGGAGGGAATGGGGGAGGACACAGTGGTGGCCACAAGTCTAAGGGGCAGCCAAAGGGACACCAGCAGCCTGGAGGAGGGTTCTGTGCAGCCTGTTTGCAGTCTGGTGGCATGTGTGGATCTCCCATGTAGAATTAGGACAGGGTTGGGGCTGAGGAACCCATTCTCTGGGTGGGTGAATGTTCCTCTCATTCTCACTCTAACCCTGCCTGAAATCAGTAAGAATATTATTGAGATATCACAATTTTCACTGGGTTATCCCCCAGCTGAGCCCATGTCCTTCCCCAGTGTTTGCACAACCCCATGAACCTTTGGGGAGCTGCTCCTCCAAGAGTCACAATTACATGTGTGCCCCCAAGAGCAGAATTTACCAGTGCCCATCTTGGGTTTCTTCTTGTTCCCATTTCTGTTGTAATTAAGCAGATTAGGGCATTCCTTCAGACTTGGTGCACAAGTTGGTTGGGAGCTCTCATCTGGAACCCAAGGCTGAGAGCTTACCCAGCCTTTCAGATTTATCAGTTGAATGATTTGTATTGGCAGATGTCAGAAACCCACAGGGACCAGCTCACACACACAGCAGTATCACCCAGCCCTTTAATTCTTCTGGTTCTCCTCTTTCTCAGTCAGGTTTTATAGACTGACTGTTCCTTCCCTCTCTGCAGAAGATCAGCAGGGGTCCTGGGTGTGTTGGGATGGGATACGTTAATAAAGATGTTTTATATGACACAGTGGTAGCGCTGCAACCCCTCGCCCTCCAGCACAGGCTCCTCCCTGGGGGCTTTGTGCTGAACTCCTCATATTCTGCAAATTCCTCAGCAGTCTCAGCTGCTCTCAATGGGAGTGATGTTCTGCAGAAAATGGCAGAGAAAGCTGTGAAAAAAAGGCCCAGCACCAAACCCATGAAAGGCATCTCGGGGTGAGCGATGAGCCGCAGCCTCGCGCCGCGAGCCCGGAGCCGGGGACAAGCAAATGAAAGTGGGAGGTTGGGAAGTGTCAGCCCAGAGGCAGCCACGAATCACTCCCCACTAACAAGTGGGATATTAAAGCTGGTGATTTTCTGCATGGTTGTGTCTACAAACACACGGAGAAACTGTAACTTAAAGGCAACAAAGCACAGCAGCTCCTGCCTCAGCACCCGCCAGGGCAGGTGCCATAGCTCTGCAGTGTGGGGGGACGCCCAGCTTTTGTCCATGATGCCCCAATGAAACCCCCGAACTTCTGGGGGATCAGAGCCAGCCCTCCATCCCCCAGATCCATGCTGGATGGGAGCATGGAGATGTTTTGAATGACAAAACAATTTTTTCCTGATTTTTTTTTCAAAATTAGATCATGTGATTTTTCATTGGGAAGAAACATGTTTCTAAATTTAAAGGTAGATTTAAATGGAAGGTTTGAACAAGAAGGAGAAGAAAAAGGTAATGAGAATATCAGCAAGAGGTGACTTTGCTGTAAGCATGAAATCCTGGGCTCTGACTGTTCCCCTTTACTCAGCTCTTTTCCTCTGTCTTTCTTTCAGGCTGAAGGAGAAAAGTTTCTGTTTCCTGGTGATCTTTCTGGTGTTCTCCTCTGGCTCGGGGCTCTTCCTGACAAATGAGAATCACTGGGAAAAGGTCAATGGGAGCCAGTGCCCAAAGGGAGCATGGCTGGGGGATCTGGGGGGGCTGACTGGGGTTCATCCTGTGCTGACCAAACTTTGCTCTGAGCAGCTTTACAGAAGGACACATGGAAATCAGACTGGTTGCAAACCTGAAGGTCAGAGGGTGGCTGGGGCAGGACACCAGGGACACTCCAAGGTTCAGCCCCAGGAGCTCCCACATCACCTCTGCCAGTGTTAGGCCCAGTTCCCCCAGCAGGTAAGTCCCAAAGGACACGTCGCTGTTTTCCTGGGATTGACAATTCCTCAGGGGCTGGTAACAGCACTGCTAGATGTTTCAGCCTTCAGGTTTGGATTTCTACAGCACACAAATGCTTTTTGCAGTTCTTTTTTTCTTCTAAACAAAGGTTTTATGGACAAATTCAGGCCAGCTCTAGTTGTGCTATTCCACGCAATGTGCATATTTGTCTGCTTTGTACTCTGAGACTGTCAGAGCTTCTTTTAGGGATGAAAACCTTCAGCTTAATTTAAAACCAGAAGATGGCATTCTTGAGAAAAGGTTTGCAAAGAGAGAAAACACATTTTATTAGACATGAGGCAAATTTTCCCCTAATCCTTACCAGATCAATTTCTTTAGCAAGTGACTTTCCCACCTTTTGATCTTCCATAAATAATTGTTGCTGGGTGCATGAGGGTGACATGTTCTCCCTGCCCAGTGTACAACCCCAGACATGAGCAAGGTCCTTCACAGCACCCTTCAGAAAGTGCTGCCAGCTCTGGTAAGTCCCATCCTCCTCCCATCCTTGTTTCCCAGAGATCATCTCCTCCTCCCTCTCCTCCACCTCCTTTGCCTCCCCCTTCTCAGTGCACTGTAGCAGATTTCACAGTTTTGCCACACAAAGGAGCTTTCAGACTGGTGAAAAGCAGCATTTCCAGCCATTCCTGGCTTTGTGCAGCTAATGCACTGGTGCTGCTGGAAGCCTCCTTGTCCCAGCCTGGTGGGTAGGGATGTGATGTTCAGACAGAGCTGCCCTTGGGGATGAGCACCTGATTCCCAAAGGCTTGTCAAAGGGCACACCTGCAACCCCCTAACATGTCATAAAGTCATTCCATTTTAGTCAGATACCTGTGGGGTCTGGCCCTGCTCTTTGCTCAGTTTAAGGCAGATATAATCCAGAATAACCCAGTTCAGCCAGGACCAGAGAAAACTGAGGCAAGCCCTGGTTTGTGTTACCAACAGCACAGGCTCCTGATGTTTGTGGGTAGAATCTGCACTGGTCTGGCAGCCTCAAAGCTCTGCTCCCAC